CGAATTAATTGTTGCGTTTGAGAATTGAGGAGGACAACTGCAATTCTGAAAAGCGGCTGGTAAGCATCCTATGGAGTCTAAGGCAAATGTGGTGGAACATGCTTCAAAAACCAAGAAACGAAGTCTTCTAGAAAAAGTTCATCACAAGGCTCTAAAGGAGATAATAAAAAGTACAAGTTTAATGGCAAATGTACATCTGTGACAAAGAGGGACATGGGCCAAAGATTGCCGTAGCAAAGGCAAAAGCAAAAGAAGAACAAGCAAGAAGCCTGCTCAAGCCCTATGACCGAAGTGGACAATATTTCCAAATGGTGTCGAAGACATCAATCTTTCTGCAGTTGTTTCCGAGGCAAAATCTGTCGGAAATCCTAAGAATGGTGGGTGGACACTGGTGCTACTGCCATATTTGTGCCGACAAAAAAGATGTTCACGTCTTATTCTTCAGTGGACAATGGTGAACAACTTTTTTTGGCAACTCCTCAACTTCCAAAGTTAAAGGACAAGGGAAGATTGTACTCAAGATGACATTTGGAAAGGAATCACTCTCAACAATGTACTGTATGTACCGGATATTCGCAAGAATCTGTTTCTGGATCTTTGTTGAGTAAGAATGGTTTTAGGCTAGTATTTGAGAGTGATAAATTTGTACTTCTAAGAATGGGATGTATGTAGGAAAAGGTTACATGTCTGATGGCCTTTTCAAGTTAAATGTAATGACCGTTGTACCCTTAGTTATTAATAATTACTACATCTTCTTCTTACTTGCTGGAGTCTTCATATTATGGCATGGTAGACTAGGGCATGTTAATTATGGATCTTTGCGTAGATTAATTAATATGGAATGTTTACCTAAATTTGACATTGATTCAAATCATAAATGTGAATTTGTGTTGAGGCAAAATTATCTAAAACTCTTTTTCATTCAATTGAAAGAAGTACGGAAAACCTTGAATTAATTCATAGTGACATTTGTGATTTTAAATCAATTCAAACTAGAGGTGGGAAAAAAATATTTTATCACTTTTATAGATGACATATACTAGATATAGTTATGTTTTTTAATTCAACAAGGATGAAGCTTTGGAACTTTCATTCAATATAAGAATGAAGTTGAAAATCAACTTGGTAAGAAAATTAAGAAACTTAGAAGTGATAGAGATGTGAATATGAATCACCTTTGGTGAGTTTTGTAAAGAACATGGAATAATTCATCAAACCACCACTCCTTACTCACCTCAGCAAAATGGAATTACTGAAAGGAAAAATTGGACTTTAAAAGAAATGATGAATGCCATGTTAATTAGTTCTGGATTACCTCAGAACTTGTGAGGGGAAGGAATACTTTCTGCTAATTATATACTTAATAAAGTACCCCGAAAGAAAGTAAATCAAACACCTTACGAATTGTGGCATGGAAGAGTACCATCATATAAATACTTAAAAGTGTAGGGTGTTTGGCTAAAGTGGCTATTCTAGTCCTAAAAAGACTAAGATAGGTCCTAAGACCATTGATTGCATTTTCATTGGTTATGCCAAGAATAGTAGTGCATATCGGTTTTTGATTCATAAATCAGAATATTCTGAAATGCATGTAAATACTATTATTGAGTCTCGAATGCATCATTCTTTGAACATGTATTTTCAAATAAGACTGGACAAGAGACTAGTAATAATAAGAGATCTTTTGATGCTATTGCTAGTAATGATCAAGAACATGATCAAGAGCAAGAGTTAGACCAAAATGAGGAAGAAGAACCTAGGCGTAGTAAACGGCTAGAACCTCAAAATCTTTTGGTCCAGATTTTCTAACATTTTTGTTAGAAAATGAGCCTTTAATTATCTCTCCTTCCATAGAAATTTCTTTGCGCTTGTGTTTGAGGTAGTTCTTGAATTCCTTCCAGCCTTTTGGTAATTTTTCAATTAAGGCTGCAACTTGGAAGGATTTACTGAGAGACATACCTTCTGCGTGAATGTCATGCAGAATGAGTTGGAAATCTTGAGCTTGGCTGATCACAGTTTTTGAATCAACCATTACAAAATTCAGGAATCTACCAACCACAAATTTCTTTGAGCCGGCATCTTCCGTTTTGTACTTTTTCTCCAACGATTCCCAAAGTTCCTTTGCTGTCTTGATTGGACTGTAGACATTGTACAATGTATTGTCAAATCCGTTTAAGATGTAGTTCCGGTAAAGGAAATCAGCATGTTTCCAAACATCAACCGCAGCAACCACTTGCCGGTCAGTTTCATCCTCTTTCCAGATAGGAGCATCTTCACGGAGGAAACGAGCTAGGTTCAGAGTTGTAAGATAGAACAACATTTTCTGTTGCCATCTTTTAAAGTCAGTTCCAGAGAACTTCTCTGGCTTCTCTCCATGATTTATTGGTACTGTCACCACAGGAGAGGGGGTTGGTGCAATTGCAGCCACCACAGTAGTACTTGTTTGGGCATTTTTTTCAGTAGCCATCAATTCTAATTTATAAAACAAAATTATAATTAGAATTTACACTACACAGAAAATTAAACCAAATGCACAGAATTAAATTCTGTAAAAAATAAAAGAAACAAGAATGTAACTTTTATTTTCCAATTAATTTGGAAATAAAATAAAATTTTAGTTAACCAAATTAATTCCACACAGGAAATTAAATTCTGTAAAATAAAACAAATAAGAATATAACTTTTTATTTTTCAATTAATTTGGAAATAAAATAAAATTTTATTCAACTAAATTAATTCCACATAGGAAATTTAAATTCTGTAAAATAAAAGAAATAAGAATATAACTTTTATTTTTCAATTAATTTGGAAATAAAATAAAATTTTATTCAACCAAAGTAATTCCACACCGAAAAATAATTTCAGTAACACTTCAATAATTAAAATACTAAAATAGAATTTTAATTAATGAAAACTCATAAAATAATTTCTAAAAACCAAAATTAATTTTCTGACTAAATTCCACAAAAATATATTCTGAATTGTTAATGACACCAGTATCGTACTACTAGTTGTCAAAGAAAATAGATAGTATATTACTACTATTTATCAAATAGCATATAATCACTATTTTTTTTCCAACCAGAATATTATTTTGTAAATCCACAGAAAATATATTTTTTTCGAAATTATTCACGAAGAATGAAAAATGGAAACAAACGAAAAATTCTGTAAACAGAATAATTTGAATCTGTCTTAAGATTGTTGAAACAATCTTCTGTGTAATAAAATAACTAGAAATAAATTCAAACAAAATAAATAAATAACATACCGGATTTATTTATCGAACCGAATTAAAATTAAGACCAAGTCGAGTGTGTGACACTCTATCCTTAAGACAGATTCGCCCCGCTACGGTGCTTACGGTTGAGTGGCGTCTATCTCTCAGGATACAATGATCTTCACAAACTTGTAGTAGCACTCCACACAAATTTGTACGGCAAACTAGAACCTTGTGTTCTTATACTCTCTTAATTTTAATTCTAAAACTAGAATGTAGAGAAATACAAACAACAATAGTTTGGACAGCAAATAGGAAGTTGGAGACTGAATTTTTTCGGATCTTAGGACTGCTGGAAAAGGATCAATATATATAGGCAACTTCATGCTTGTTAGGACAGCCCGAACAGGTATAAACAGTGGTCAACAGGTGCCACCTGATTTGAATTCAACAGATTCGAATTTATTTAAACAATTCAAAAAAGAATTCGTTGGAGACAAAGCCAAAGCAACTGTTAAACTATTTGAATAGTTTACACACTTTCTTTTTCAAATTAATTACCGTTGGTGGACCAAGTCAAACCTGTTGGAGCATTATATATTTAAACTATCTCAAATATATATATATTAAACTAATTGAATATATATATATATTAAACTATTGAAATAGTTAAATAAATAAATAAAGAGGTACAAACTTTAGGAAACTTCTTAGAAACCTAAAATTTGAATTTAGAATTAAATTAAATTCCCACAATAATTTTTATTAAAAAATTCAAATGAATTTTATCTAAAAAATTAATGTTAGATCCGAAAACGACGTCAACTTCCCATTCACTCATAAATGGTTTTGACGTTCCGTCTTCACCGTGTGACTTGTCACGCGGCAAGGAACACGTCACATCTTCAGACCCACCCCAAAAGACGTTTGGGGCCCACTCAACTTGGGCTAAAAAATATGCCTATATTAAACTATTTTTTTCCAACAAGCATTCCTTCTGGGATACCAAAACTCATCAACTTGGAAAGAATATGGCTTGTTGGCAATCACTTTACAGGTAATTTACCATTTGATATTGGAAAGCTTCAGAACCTACAAGATTTGGACTTGTCAGAAAATGAATTTCGGGAAATATCCCATCCTCTCTATTGCAAGTATCTACCGTGGCACTCGTATCTACCGTGGCACCGATCGAAGTGGCACTTGTTCAAAATGCCACAAGACCAAAAAGTGTCATTAGAAGAATAGTTTTGTGGCACTTTCAAATGTCACTAAACTAAGAAAATGTTGTAGTGAAAAGAGTCTTCATGGCAGCATCCCTCCAAGTTTGGGTGACTGCAAAAATTTGTTGTCATTGAGCCTAGCACATAACAAGCTTAGTGGGCCAATACCTCAACTAGTTATTGGTCTTTCCTCATTATCACATTTGGACCTATCTGAAAACTATTTGACAAGTTCTCTTCCAGTGGAAGTTGCAAACTTGAAGAACCTTGGTTACTTGAGTGTTTCCGGCAATATGTTATCTGGTGAAATTCCCGGCACTCTTGGTAGGTGTGTAATGTTAGAAACACTATATATGGATGGTAACTTTTTTCAAGGAACCATTCCTTCTACTTTGGCTTCTTTGAGAGGCATTCAATTCTTAGATCTCTCACGCAATAATTTGTCTGGACAGATTCCAGAATATTTTGCAGCATTTAATTTATTGCAGAATTTGAACTTGTCCTACAATGATTTTGAGTGTGCAGTGCCAACAAAAGGTATATTTGCAAATGCAAGTGCAATTTCAGTCAATGGGAATAGCAAGCTTTGTAGAGTACCTGAATTACAGCTGTCCTTGTGCAACTCCATACGGTCCAAAAAGAGGAGATTGACTCTCGCTTCAAAATTGGCAATTTCTATATGTAGTGGGCTTTTAGGGGTATCTTTTATGTTGTGCATTCTATATATTTGTTGGTATAGAAAGGCAGAAAAAGATCTTTCTTCCGTTTCACTAAAAAAATCACTCTTGAAAGTATCTTGTCAAACTCTTCTCAAAGCTACTGATGGATTGTCTTCAGGAAATTTAATTGGTGTTAGTAGTTTTGGGTCTGTGTATAGAGGAATTCTTGAACATGATGGAACAATTGTTGCCATGAAGGTACTCAACCTCCAGTGTCATGGGGCTTCCAAAAGTTTCTTAGCCAAGTGTAAGGCCTTGAGGAACATTAAACATCGCAAACTTGTTAAGGTACTGACCGCATGTTTAGGTGTTGATTATTAAGGTAATGATTTTAAGGCTCTGGTTTATGATTTCATGGTAAATGGAAGTCTGGAGGACTGGTTGCATCCAGTCACGGGACTGGATTTGTTGCACAATGAACCAAAGAAACTAGGTCTTCATCAGCGATTGAACATTTCTATTGAAGTTGCATGTGCATTGGATTATCTTCACCATGATTGCCAAACACCAATAATCCACTGTGATCTGAAGCCAAGCAATATTCTTCTGAATGAGGACATGATTGGTCATGTAGGCGACTTTGGGTTAGCAAGATTCTTGCAAGAAGCCAACCATAACTTCAGTGCAAAGCAAGGAAGCTCAACAGGAGTTAGAGGAACTATTGGATACACTGCTCCAGGTAAATATTTTTTTGATCCGCTTCATTAATTATATTTCTATATTTTTTTCTACATTCTTTGGAGGATTCTTTCATTTGCAAATTGAATTCACGCAGGAAACACACCCATATGTTCACACAGATAGCTTAATAACCAAACCTTTCGAGGCAAAATTTGTATTTTCTTTTATTCTGCCTTTTTCACAGACAATCTGAGTTGGCCTCAGAATGATTAGGGGTGACATACTGTAACACAAAATTACGATTGCCAGACCAATTTCCAAATGCCAAAACTATATATATATTTTTTAGGACCTTAGAATAAAGATATCTAGTTCCGTTAGGAGTTTCACCCTACTTTATTTTACTATTTTCTCACTAGACCATGTTTCAATATGAAACATCTGAAAACTCGAAAATCACTGTTCCATGAATAATATGTGTATCAGTGAATTTTGTTATAATTGGCCTCAAAGACTGGCATGCCAAGATACTTGACAAACATATTAACATAAATAAGTCGTAAGAAGTTTTTTTTGCTGCCCTCCTTTATCTACTTGTTTTTAAATTTATTTATTTATCTTTTCATAAGAATTTAGATTGTTATTAACTTATTGAAATCATTGATGGCCTTTTCTAATGAAACAACTGATGTATAGAAAGGATTTGAGTGTTTTGATAATTTAATTGATTGTTATTCCTTAAGGTTGGGCTTTGTTAGAAGGCTTGCGGGTCTGTTCATTTTATTGCCATTTCAATCAATATCATTTCAAGATTCTCATGTCAATGGTTGTGTGCTTATGAAGAAACACTTTTTTCCAATTACAGCTACAATTCAATGCATGATGTGTTTATTGCAGAGTATGGTATGGGAAACGAGGTGACAACAAAGGGAGATGTGTATAGTTATGGCATTCTCTTGTTAGAAATGTTCACAGGGAAGAGACCCACTGATGATATGTTCAAAGATAGTCTGAACCTTCATAATTTCGTTAAAATGGGTTTGCCTTATCCAGTGGTAGAAGTTGCAGATCCAATGCTTCTTTGGGAAGTAGAAGAAAAAACTCTGGATATCAGAGTAAAAACCCAGGAGTTCTTGATTTCGATTTTGCAAATTGGAGTTACTTGTTTTGCAGAGCTGCTGAAGGAAAGGATGAACATCAGTGATGTTGTAGCTGGGTTGCATTCTATCAGGAGCATTTTTCTTGCAACTGTACACTCAGAACAAATTATTTAATCAATTTCAGTAGATAATATAGTTGAGTCTTATAAACCAAATTTGAATAGCTGAAGAACCAATTCTATGTTTCCATTTCAAAATGCCTTGTGCAAAATGTTCTTGTATGAGAATATCTTAAAAAACAGAACAGGGTTAAATTCTGTTTATGTAAAAACGCTATAATAGTTTTGTTCTTCACGAGCAGCAGCTGAATCTGTGATATTGTTGTTATTGTTTTCATTCTGGTTAATCAAAAACCATTTTAGTTGTGGATTTTTTATCATTATTGATTTTACTCGGTACACAGGCCAAACTTGAACTTTTAAAACATTTTTCGTGTTTGTGTATCTAAGTGCATACATCCTTTTGTATGTTTGCGTCCATGTATGCATATTACTACCATTTGTCTTTAAACCATTTTTGCCAACATAAAATTTCAATGGTTTGCATTTTTCAAAGTTATTTACTTTCTCTTTCTTATTCACACAAATCATGAACAGAAAAAAAATTATGTAGTCTAAATTCATTTAGAGTCCCTTATATATCCTTTGTTTCTCTTCTTCTTTTTTTTTTTCCGCGGGGGGGGGGGGGGGGGGGTGTTGAAGAAAACACAAAAATCTGCACAAATCCAATGTCAAGAATTCATGCATTCAACCAAATTGCACTATTTTTTTCTTCACTAAGCAATTAACTTAATCTCGATTGACATTTGAGCTTAATGCATAAATTAATTAATTCATCCAACCAACAAGTGGATCGATTTAGGGCTTATGATGTTTCTCATAAGTTTATTTTTCCAGCAGCCTGCAATAATTTGATCTCTCCACGGATTTTGAAAGGTACAATTATTTTTGTAATGAAATCAATCAAGACAAAATGAGGAAGGTGAATATATATATATATATATATTTTGCCCACTTGGTGTAATTTTGAAAGTCACAATCCACAATAGCCTTTTCAAGATGCTGTAACTTTGTCAACCAGATAGATCATCACAACATCTAAATTCTATCAAAAAAAATTTCCTATATTTATGCTTAAATTTAATCCATCAATATATATTATTAATGTTAGAACAATTCGTCTAGGATTCTTCAATTGGTGGTCTTCAGGTCTTCAAAACTTGGCGATGATCTTGTCTATATAGAACAGAAAATTGATGCTTCAAGTAGTGTTACTTAGTCGCTTTCCTAAAGACAATATTTGTACCCACCAAAAGGTGTGCAGTGGGTTACGACAAATTTGCCTCCAGAATACAATGAAGCCTGATCTAAAGATGTAGTCTATCGGCGTCTGCACTGATGACAATAGATCAGAATACTCTTGATATAATCAAGAAACGAAGACGCTGATAATCAAATCTGCAGAACTTGATTATCAATAAGAAAAACAGAAATTTGCTTAAGAAACTCTTGATCGAAAATTCAAAATCAAGAGGGAGAGAGAGAGAGAGAATTGCAGGAACGCTTTTTAGGATTTTGGATTGAATGAAATGGCTGATTTCGTAGCCTATTTATAGGCCTTGATGGATCTGATCGAATGGTCATGTCTCTTGATCACATCCAATCAGATCTGATCGTTGGATCGACGATCCATGGTGCAAATCATTCTAACACCGAATAGATGCCTTGACTAATCACACCTGATCACGATCAGGTGCCATCTCATAAGTACGATTGCGCACATCTCCAATTAACGACTATGATCAACCCGCTCTAGATCAGACACACAACCGTTTGATCGGTTGGTTGACTCATTGCCAACGTTGCGCCGATGCATCCGTGCAAAGTGCAAAGTGCGCCATCAAACGCCACACAGCCCACTGCTTACACCACGTGCACACGCGCGTGTTTGGATCGACGATCTATGGTGCAGATCATTCTGACACCGAATAGATGCCTTGACTAATCACACCTGATCACGATCGGGTGCCATCTCATCCGTACGATCGTGCGCATCTCCAATCAACTGCTATGATCAACTCGCTCCATATCGGAAACATAACGGTTTGATTGGTTGGTTGACTTATTGCCAACGGACGACACGTCACTGCCATGTGGAGCTAACTGTATTCCATGTCACTTATGCCACGTCGAATCCACGTCATCGCTCCAACTTGTCCGATGCAAATAGGAAAGCGCCCTCCTGGCGCCTTGCGCCAATGCATCCGTGCAAAGTGCAAAGTGCAAAGTGCGCCATCAAACGCCACACAGCCCACTGCTTACACCACGTGCACACGCGCGTGTGCATGTGCAAATGGTGCGAAGCACCATCCTTGCGGTGTGGGTGCATGCACACTAGCTTTCATCCCATAATTCCATATTCAAAAGAATATTCCATGTAGCACTTTATTAAGTGCTCCATGTTTTGCTCTCTTTCCAATGTGGGACAAAGTCTCCAAGCTTATTTCATGCTTTCCAAAGAAAAACATGGAAGGTTTTTAAAACACCCAAAAATTAAACTATAAATTTTGAAAACCATTTTGAAAATTCCCCAACATTCCCCCACCATTTTCAAAATACCAGATGATGACTCTTGGTTCACTTGGCAGCCTTATGCATAGGTGAAGATATCTTAAGATTTGAATCATTCACTTAGTGAAGACATCTCAAAGTTAGTCAATATGGCATAGTAAACTTGTCTTTGAACTAGCGATCTTATACGACTAACCGAACATGTCTCACGCACAGTACATGTTACCTCAAGTATTCAAACAAACCGACATGTAGATTGGCCTTGTGTCTATATCTTGTTTCATGAGTGCTCTAGAGTCAAGCCCTTGGACTCATAGGAAGCGGCACCACCTCCTACACTCACATAGGGAAGCTTACTGAGAGTACCCCTGTAATTTAGAGTACCCTAACAACCCAGTTGTAAGCTTATTAAGAGTTTGCTAACTCATCCTCTTCTTTTCACATTACAGGTGCCAAACACTTCAACCTTGGGATGAAAATGAAATAAAGCTAAGTGCTTGTAATCACGACATATAGTGTACTTGGGCTAATTGAACTCAAGACTTGATGTTTCTTCAAGCGTTGAGTTGAGTTTCCACTATGAGTGATTATGTTAAGTGGGCTTGAGACCCATCCCCTTTGATGTTTTCCACACCAAATCCCTTGCAAGTCCCTTTGTTAAGGGGTCAGCCAAGTTTTCATTTGACTTTACATAACTAATGGTAATCCCACCTTCTGTGATTAACTGCCTGACACAGCTATGTCTCAGTCCTATATGCCTAGACTTTCCATTATAGACATGGCTATAAGCCCGTGATAGAGTTGCTTCACTATCACAATGCAAAGATATTGATGACATAGATTTTGGCCATATCTTAATCTCTAACAAGAGATTCCTTAGCCACTTTGCCTCTTGCTTCAAGAAGCCAACGCTACAAACTCTGATGCCATGGTTAAGTCTGTTATGCATGTTTGTTTCTTAGAACCCCAGGAGATAGCTCCTCCTCCAAGAGTAACCACTCGTGGACGAGTGATCTTTATGGTCAGTTATCTAGCTAGCATCCGTGAATGCTTTCGGCACTGTTGGATAGCCATTATAGACTATTCCATAGTCTATTGTTTTCCTCAAGTACCTAAGTACTCAGTTAACAGCATGCCAATGCACACTATTGGGATTACTAGTGTATCTACTAAGTTTTCCCATTGCAAAAGCAATATTAGGTCAAGTGCAAGTCATGGCATACATTAGGCTACCTATTACCCTTGAGTATTTTAGCTGATCAACAGCTCTTCCAGTATTAGGATACAATTTCAAATTTGAATCAAAAGGTATAGACATGGGTGTACAATTATATTGATTAAATTTCTTAAGAATTTTCTCAATATAGTGCAACTGAGTTAGAATCAAATTATTGTCCTTTCGTTTGATCTTAATACCCAAAATTACATTAGTCAAGCCCATGTCTTTCATACTAAAGCTAGACGACAAGAAACTTTTAGTACTTTCAATGACATCATTGTCAGTACCAAAAATAAGCATGTCATGTACATATAGACATATGATTACACCTCTATTTCTAATAAACTTACTGTACACACACTTATCAGATTCATGTATCCTAAAACCATTTGACACTATTACTTTGTCAAATTTCTCATGCCACTGTTTTGGAGCTTGTTTCAGTCCATATAGTGACTTCACGAGTTTACACACTTTGTGCTCTTGACCCTGTACAACAAACCCTTTCGGTTGTTGCATGTAGATTTCCTCATCTAACTCTCCATTTAGGAAAGCGGTCTTAACATCCATTTGATGGATTTCAAGCATATAGATTGAGGCTAAGGCAATCAATACTCAAATGGTGGCAATTCTAGCCGCAGGAGAATATATATCAAAATAATCGATACCCTCCTTTTAAGTAAAACCCTTAGTAACTAATCTTGCTTTGAACTTGTCAATTGTGCCATCAACTTTCATTTTCCTTTTGAAAATCCATTTACAACCAATGGGTTTGGATCCAGATGGCAAATCAGCAAGTATCCAAGTATTGTTACCCATGATAGAATCCATCTCATCGTTTATTGTTTCTTTCCAGAAAGCAACATCTTGAGAATTTATTGTGATACCCCTGTTCCGTAATGGGTTAATTAGTCCTTAAAATGAGTATGATTATGTGTTTAGCCTGATTTTGTGTGCCAATATGTGGTTTTGAATTTCTATCTGTTCACCGTAGGAATATCTGTTCGATTATCTGCTTTGGAAATTAAATTAAGGGCCCTATCGGCGACAGAACCCGAAATTGATTACGCCATTGTGATAAGCGTAATTTTTAGAGCCTACGGTGAAATTTAATTGAAAACTGATTCGGGTCAGATTAAATTGATTTATTTAATGGCATTGTGCTCAAATTGTTTAATATTTTAATTGTGGCAAGTGGGGCTTGTTGTATATGAGCACTACTCAATCAAACTCTCTCTTTAATTCTCACTTGGCTGATATACACTCTAAGGAGAGGAGAGGAGAGGGCCGGCCATTAGAGAGAGAGAGAGAGAAGAGAGAAAAAT